GGGAGAGGGAGAAGCAGGCTTCCCGCCGAGCAGGGACCCTGACGTGGGGCTCGATCCCAGGACCCTGGGATCATGACCTGAGCCGAAGGCAGACGTTTAACCGGCTGAGCCACCCAGGTGCCCCTAAACAGCATGTTTTAAAATGAGGAGAAGGTCCTGAAGGGGGAGTGAGATTGCCTGTCCCTACCCGGGAAGGGACCATATTAATTGATGGGAAACTAAATATGGTCCAAAGAGATTTCGTTCTGAGAGCTCACTGAGTAGGCTCCTCAGATCAGGAACTAGTAAGGAAGACAGACAACAAAGGGAGCTCTAAAGATTTTAATGCTGCAGGAAATAACTTGCATTTAAACAATCACCTTGCTTCATCTTGTAGACCGATCAGATGCCATTTTTTTGTTCATTTAATTGCTCAGAAGAAAGGGACAGGTGTGAACTGTTGTATTCATTTTAAAGCCTGAGACATATTGTAGCCAAATTCTAAATTGTTCAGAAAGATTTGACTTTATTGAAAGAGAGAGAGAGGAAGACGATCTTTGCCAGTATCTCTGGCCAGTTAGCTAGCTATACCTTTTCTTATTTGAAAAATGATTTGGGACCACTTAAAAAAATTATGCACTGTTGTTCAATAGGAGATAATAAACGAAGAAATCAGAATGGGAAGAAAGTAAAGGCAGGTAAATAAAACTGGGGGGTCTTTTAGCACATAGAAATTCATCCCAAAGTTTGCTAGAAGCAGAGATGAAATTTTGGGTTTATACTTCTTAGCAGTCAAAGCAAAAAGGAAACAAGATCCATTAGAAAAATTTGGGTATCTACAAGGTAGAAATGAATAAACACAGCTTTTTTTTAAAAAAAGATTTTATTTATTCATTTGTGAGAGAGAGAGAGGATGAGCAGGTCGGGGGTGAGGAGCAGAGGAAGAAGCAGACTCCCGGCTGAGCAGGGAGCCCGATGCAGGACTCGATTCCAGGACCCTGAGATCATGACCTGAGCTGAAGGCAGACGCTTAACCGACTGAGACACCCAGGCACCCTAAACACAGCTTTTGCTGATGCAGTTGAAACACAGTGAAATCATGAACAACTTCCTAGTGGCATCCTCAACTAGACAATATCAGGTTCCATAAGACAATTTCTTACCAGAATCTATTAGTTTCCTAGGACTGCCACAACAGAATACCACAGACTGGGTGGCTGAAACCACAGAAATTCATTTTCTTCTAGTTCTGGAGGCTGGAAGTCCAAGACTAAGATGTTAGCAGGTTTGGTTCCTTCCAAGGCCTCCCTCCTTGGCTTGCAGATGGCTGTTTTCTTACTGTGTCCTTATATGGTCATCCCCCTATACACACGTCCCTGGTCTCTGTCCCGATTTCTTCTTATAAGGACACTAGTCAGATTGGATTAGGACCCATTTTAACTTAATCACCTCGTTACAGACCTTACGTTCAAGCACAGTCACATTCCGAAGTACGAGGGGTTAGGTTTTCAATATATGAATGTTGTGTGGGGGGGTGGGGGTGGGGGGAATGGGACACAATTCAGTCCCTACCTAACAGCAACCTGTAATAGAGTGCCAAACTTAATTTGGTTAATACAAGTCCACGAGGGTCCATAGAGAGTGGTCCAAGCTTGCAGGTTTCTGCAAGATCTTCCTCTGTCCCAGGATAAGGAGATTCAGGATATGTAGGAGACTCAATAAATACACATTCATCAGGCATGGGCCATGAGTATTTTTCTGTTATCAAAGTGTCTGAGAAGAACTGATCCCTAGGAGCCTTACTTAAGCCACATGGTCCTGTTTTGCTTGAATAAGACCTAGTGCCCACAGTCCCACACTATCTCTGGCCCCTGAAGGCCATATAAACTTTAGGTAAGGTGCTAGACTCTGCATATGGAGATCTTGTGCAAAAGATGGGGGGTGGGGGGGAGTAAGTAAGACTTTATCTTTGTATTTGCTGGAAGAAACTGAAATCAGTGGTTACTTCTGCAAGGGGAGGTAGGAACTGGGTGGATAGGAAAAGAATGGGAGAGAGACTTTACACAGTATCTTTTTCTCATACAGAAAATACATTCTCTTTTTGGGGCCTCAGGTACACAGAATTGGATTGATTATAATCCCTGGTTCATAACATGCCCTCATCCTTGATCTGTGCACAATTGCCTTTTGTTTTATTTATATATGCATGAATTCACGTGAGCCCGCCACCCAATGCTAAAATGAGAACATCACCAACACTCTTTGTGCATTCCTAATCCTATCCCCCTCTTCCCTTCAGAAGTGACTGCTATCCTGATTTTTTTTATATTAATGATCTCCATTCACCTTTCTGAGCTTGCATTATTTCAAATGACCTGTAGGCTCTTTGGGATTTTCACATAGATATCATATCCTCTGCCTTTGGGGGTTTGGAAACATTTAACTGCACTAGCCACTCACAAATTTCAATAAAATGCTTCTAATCTCATGATTCATGGAAGCCGATGAGACAGGAGGCTCACGGAGCACACCAGACACAGTAGCTCCCAACCCCAGGTCCCGATGTTGGAGAGATAGCCTCCTCGAGAATGGGCACCACACACAGTCATTGCCTGCCTGGTCCCCGAGGGCCTGGGGGCCCCTGGACGCTACACTGCAGAGGATGTGATCATACCAATCTGATGTGGTGACACCGGGGTGATGTTCCTGAGATAACAGGTGTGTCTGCCTCTCCTTCCCTTGTCATTTAGCTTTCACCATCAACCACATCTACATGGAGATCCTGCCAGGACAGGAGGTGCAAAATGGGGAGAACCTGACCTTGCAGTGCATCGTAGACATCAGCACCACCTCGCACATCAAGCCTCAGCACTGGGTGCTCTTCTATAAGGATGACGTGCTATTTCACAATGTCTCCTCCATGGAGACCACCGAGAGTTATTTTATTCCCCAAGCCCGGGTCTATGACGCAGGGACATATAAATGCACCGTGATTCTGAACAACAAGGAGAAAACCACCTCGGAGTACCAGGTGTGGGTGAAAGGTGAGTCCCTGCATCTGAACGGAGCTCAAGCAGATGCGCTATCGCACACGCGGTAGCAAGAATAGTAATTGAATGGCTGGTAACACAGGCCCCAGCCTTCTCACTCCTCTGCCTGGCATTTTCCTAACCCGAAAATGTAGGCGTTAGACGTGCTCCCAATATGCCAGGCTGTATCTCCTCTCCTCGCCTTTGCATGTGCTGTTCTCTCTCCTGGGAATACCCTTCTTCCTCTCCTCTCCTTCCAAACTGCTTTTCCTCCTTCAAGACTCAACTTGATGATCTCTTCTCTAACACTTCCCCAAGCAAAATCGATCACCCCCAGGGTCCTGGTTCTCACAGCTCCTGTGCAATCTTGACATTCAGTGGTATTTGTAGGACGGCCAAAGGCTGAGTGTTGACATTGGCCGCCACAGTCACTCTGTCTGGAGTCCAGTTTGGGCAAGTCCTTCAGCCTCTCTAACCTTTAAAGCTCTCATCCGTGGGGCGCCTGGGTGGCTCAGATGGTTAAGTGTCTGCCTTCGGCTCAGGTCATGATCTCAGGGTCCTGGGATCGAGTCCCGCATCGGGCTCCCTGCTCCTTGG